CTTTCATTAATCAAATGTCTCTAAAACCTCAATTGATTCACTTCTCACACTCTAATCCTTCAATTTACTTCTTACAACCTCAAATCTCTAATCAATTATGATATTCAATTCAGAAAACCAGATGCAGCAGAATACTTGCAGAAATTACAGAGAATTATAAGACATGAATATGCAGAATTCTAATTTGCAGAACTGCAGAATTTGTAAATATGAAATGCAAACTTCTAAAAAAATACCAAAAAGCTTAAAATGGGTTAGAAATGTGAGTTGCTTCTCACAAAGCGCTTCTTTAACGTCACTAGCTTGACGTTAAATGTTCCTCACTCAAGAGGAACCAATTTCATGCATGAGATATTCCTTGTAAACTCCTCTCCATGATAGACCTTCAATCTTTGGCCATTAACCTTGAATTCTCTCCCTGTCTTTTGATCCTCAATCAGAATTGCTCCAAAGGGAGATGTTTCCTTGATCAGAAAGGGTCTAGACCATCTCAATTTCAGTTCCCTGGAAATAATTTCAATCTGGAATTAAACATCAGCATTTGCTGTCCAGGTCTGAATTCTCTTTGCAAAATGAAATTGTCATGAATTCTCTTGGTTCTTTCTTTGTACAACTTTGCATTCTCATAAGCTTGCTATCTGAATTCCTCCAATTCATGTAGTTGCAAAATTCTCTTCTTTCCAGCACTTGGTAAATCAAAGTTCAGCCACTTTGTAGTCCAATAAGCTCTATGCTCCAACTCTAAAGGTAAATGACATGCTTTTCCAAAGACTAATTGATATGGTGATATACCAATTGGAGTTTTAAAAGTAGTCCTGTATGCCCATAGAGAGTCATCTAGCTTCTTTGACCAATCTTTCCTTGCATTATTCACTACTGTCTCCAAAATTTGCTTGATTTCTCTGTTTGACACTTCCACTTGTCCACTTGTTTGTAGATGATATAGAGTAGCAACCTTGTGCATCACACCATATTTCATTAATATTGCTTCAAGATATTTTTTGCAAAAGTGAGCACCTCCATCACTTATTAGAAATCTGGGTACTCCAAACCTTGCAAAAATGTTCTTTCTTATAAAAGATATCACTACCTTGACATCATTTGATCTTGTGGGAATGACTTCCACCCATTTGGAAACATAATCCACTGCCACTAAAATGTGTTCATGCGGAAATGATGGGGGAAAAGGTCTTATGAAGTCAATCTCCCATACATCAAATAGCTCCACTTCTAAAATGTTTGTCAATGGCAACTCATGCCTCCTTGAGATGTTGTTTGTTCTTTGACATTTATCACAACTTTCAACATACTTCTTAGCATCCTTGAAGAGTGTAGGCCAAAAGAAACCTGCTTGCAGTACTTTTGCAGCAGTCCTTGAACTTGCATGGTGGCCTCCATATTCTGAGTTGTGGCAATGTGATAATACCTCATATTATTCATTTTGTGGAATGCACCTCCTAATTAGACCATCTACCCCAATCTTGAACAAATAAGGGTCTTCCCACACATAGAATTTGCTGTCATATAAGAACTTCTTTTGTTGCCAAGTGAACCTCTTTGGGATGAATTGGGTAGCTTTAAAGTTTGTAATGTCAGCAAACCAAGGCATCTCTTCTACTGCAAGAAGCCTTTCATCTAGAAATTCTTCATTAATTTCCAATGGAAGTCTGGATAGGTAGTCAGCTACCCCATTTTCCTTTCCCTTTTTATCTCTAATTTCCAATTCAAATTCTTGCAGCAATAGAATCCATCTCAGCAATCTTGGCTTGGCATCCTGCTTTGACAACAAGTATTTAAGTGAAAAATGGTCAGTATACACAATAACTTTTGATCCCATCAAATATGATCTGAATTTGTCAAAAGCAAACACAATAGCTAGGAGTTCTTTTTCTGTGGTTGTGTAATTTATTTGTGCAGGATTTAAAACTTTGCTAGAATAATAAATGACATGCAATTTCTTATCCTTTTTTTGTCCTAAAACAACACCCACTGCACTATCACTTGCATCATACATCAGTTCAAAAGGTAAATTCCAATCAGGTTTTGCAAGAATAGGTGCAGATATCAGTTTTTCTTTCAAAACAAAAAATGTATGCAAACAAGCATCATCAAATAAACCTCCTATAAAAATCAACATGTCCTAAAAAAACTCCTAATTCCTTTAACATTAATTGGTGGAGGTAGTTTACTAATGACTTCTACTTTTCCTTGGTCCACCTTCATTCCTTTTTCTGAAATCTTATGGCCAAGAACAATGCCTTCTTGGACCATGAAATGACATTTCTCCCAATTCAACACAAGGTTAGTATCTTGACATCTCTGCAAAACAGTGGATAGATTAGCTAAGCAATCATCAAATGAATCACCAAATACAGAGAAATCATCCATGAACACCTCTATAATTTTCTTTACCAAATTAAAAAAAATGGAAAGCATGCACCTTTGAAAAGTGGCAGGAGCATTGCATAATCCAAAAGGCATTCTTATATATGCAAAAACTCCAAATGGACATGTAAATGCAGTCTTCTCTTGATCCATAGGGTCGGTCCACTGCTATTTGGTTGTATCTTGAATACCCATCAAGAAAACAGTAGAAAGAATGTCCAGCAAGTCTTTCCAGCATTTGATCAGCAAATGGTGATAGAAAATGGTCCTTTCTAGTTGCATCATTTAACTTCCTATAGTCAATACACATGCACTAGCCAGTGACAGTCCTAGTAGGTATGAGTTCATTCTTCTCATTAGGTACTACTGTCATCCCTCCTTTCTTGGGGACAACTTGGACTGGACTCACCCATTGGCTGCCAGAAATTGGATAAATGATCCCTGTATCTAGCAACTTCATGACTTCTTTCTTGACTACTTCTTTCATGGCTGGGTTCAATTTTCTTTGTGGCTGCACAATTGGCTTAAACTTCTCTTCAAATAAAATTTTGTGTTTACAAAAAGAAGGATTTATACCTTTCAAGTCTGAAATACTTCAGCCAATTACAAATTTGTATTTTCTCAGAATTCTCAGCAACTTTTCCTCTTCTTCCTTCTTGAGATCATTGTTGATGATAACTGGATTTTCGTGACTCTCATCCAAGAAAGCATATCTCAAGTTAGAGGGTAGTTGCTTGAGCTCTAACTTCTGATTTTGATCTTCTTTGATTTCCTTTTTCAAGTCCTCTTTAACTGAGTTTTCTGCAGGAGTTAGAATTGGTAGAGCTTCTAATTGTTGCTCAATTTCCATGATATGTTCTTCTCTAGTAATTTCAGATTTGATACTCCCTGCAGCTATTATTTCTCTCAACACAAAATTTTCATCAAATTTATTAATAGGATAATGTGTAATAATAGAATCCAAAATATCTACTCTCATACATGAATTATCTTCAGGTGGATATTTCAATGTTTTAAAAACATTAAATATCACTTTTTCATCTTGAACTCTAAGCATGAGCTCTCCTTTTTGCGCATCAATAAGAGCTCTTCCTGTTGCAAGGAATGGTCTTCCTATGATCAAAGGTATGTTTGCATCCACCTCTATGTCCAGAATTACAAAATCTGTAGGAAAAATGAACTTATCAGCTTTAACCAATAAATCTTCAACAACTACATATGAATAAGTGTATGATCTATCAGCTAGCTGCATTGTGATATTGGTGGGTTTTACTTCTTCTATGCCTAGTTTCTTCATGATAGCTAAAGGCATCAAGTTTATGCTTGCTCTCAAGTCACACAATACTCTTCCAACAGTGCATTGTCCTATTTCACATGGAATGATAAATGATCTTGGATCTTTTAGTTTCTGAGGAAGCTTTCTCTTGAGAATGACACTGCATTCCTCTGTCAAGGGTATTGTCTTATCGTGTTCTAACTTTCTTTTTCTAGAGAGTAGTTCTTTCATAAATTTTGCATATGAAGGCATCTGTTTCAAGGCTTCTGCAAAAGGTATGTTAATCTGTAATTTCTTAAAAATATTAAGAAACCTTTCAAATTGTTCTTCCTGTTTAGGATTTTGGACCCTTTAAGGATAAGACAACCTCTTGTATTTTTCTGGATCTATTGACTTGCAAGCATCTTCAAAGAGTTGCTTCTTAGTTTTCCTTTTAGAATTCATAGAAACTTCTGCTTTTTCTTCTGAATGATCTTTCTTTAATAATTTGAAAGTTTCTTATTGCAAATCTTGTTCAATTCTCCTTTCTACTGCTTCAACATTGACTTTCTTTTTTGCAACTTTTGGACTTGCAACTACAACTCCACTCTTTGTAGTGATGGCTTGACATTGCTCCTTAGGATTGATTATTGTATTGCTTGGAAATCTGTCCGCATCTCTGCTAGACAACTGCTCAGCTAGCTGTCCAATTTGGGTTTCCAGTTTCTTCATAGAGGCTTCTTGATTTTTGAAACTTGTTTGGGTCACCTTCATAAACTGCAGCATAGTTTCCTCCATCTCAGTCAACCTTTCATTCATAGGTTTGGAAAATTTTTGAGTTCCTTGAGGTTGAGTGGATGGATTCCTCTGAAAATAAGACTGTTGTGTGGCTGGACTTCTATTATTCGAAAATTAAAATCTAGGAGGATATGAGGGTTGTTGTCTCTGAAAATTGTCCATATAATTCACTTATTCCTGCAGTTCACTTGTAGATGCCCCACATGCACCATTGACATGATTTCCTCCACAGAAATCACAGTTTAGCTGACTGGTAGGCATACTCCCTGCTTGAAGATTACTGATTTGTTGAGTTAGGGCAGCTATTTGTTCTGAAAATATCTGATTTTATAGTTGGTTTTGTGCAAGAAAGATTTCCAAAACCTTAGCTTCATAACCAGAGTTTCTTCCTTGATTTCTTGAGTTTGAATTCTGGTACATTGATGATGCCATCATTTCAATGATTCTCTGAGCTTCTTCTAAAGACTTTGTATTTAAGGAACCTCCAGCAGTAGTATCAACCATTGTTTTTGTTGATGTATTCATTCCATTATAGAAGGTTTCGAATTGCATCCAGTCTGGAATACAATGATGTGGACACCTTCTCAGCAATTCTTTATATCTCTCTCATGCTTCATACAATGACTCTCCTTCCTGCTGCACAAAGGATGTAATTTCTCTTCTTAACTTAGCAACTTTGGATGGAGGAAAATATATGGTTAGAAATTTATTCACTAGCTTTGTCCAAGTTGTGATGCTTCCCTGTGGTTGAGCTTGCAACCAGCATTTGGCTCTATCTCTCAAGGAAAAAGGAAATAATCTCAATCTGATGGCTTCTTCACTAATCCCGTTCATTCTTATGGTATCACACAACTGCAAAAAATTTGAAATATGTAGGTTAGGGTCATCAGAATTTCCACCAGAAAACTGATCCTGTTGAACTAAGTGTAATAGGGTAGGTTTAATCTCAAAATGGTTGGCTTGGATAGTTGGCCTAATTATAGAAGAATTAAAACCTTGCATGTTAGGAATCGCATAGTCCCCCAATGTTCTAATTCTATTTTGCTCTGCCATCTCTATTTCTGGATTTGGTTGTCTCAAAGGTGTAGGTGTTCTTTTTACTCTAGGAGTATTCTGAATTTCTGGAGAATAGACAACTTCTACTTCACTATCACTTCCTATGAATTTTTCTACTCTAGCCTCTCTTCTTAATCTTCTTAAGATTATGTCTATGTCAAGATCAAAGACCAGAATTGATTTATTTTTGTTTTTACCACGCATATACAAATCAAAATGCAACAAAATTAAACTACAACTCGATATTTAGAAATGCACAACAAAGATTATGCAGAAGATATCAGCAAAAGCATATAAAATTCAAGTCTAGCAACTGCAGAATTCAATAGAAAATGATGTAGAGAAATGAAAAATGAAATTATGTAAAAAATAGTGCAGAAAACTACACAAAATGCAGAAAAGAAAATCATGCAGAAAAACTTAGAAGCAAAACAACAAAAATAAATGCTCAATCTAGCTACATCTCTGCTACTAATGATATTGAAACACAAATTCTCCGGCAACGACGTTAAAAACTTGTTTACAATTCTGAACACTAGCAAGTGCACTAAGAATTGTAGCAAGTAATGAGTAATTTTTAAGATCAGAATATCATCTCCACAAGGAATTAGGAAATCAATTATCACTTCACATAACTATAACCATTTGAGCCATACGAATTTGGAAGATTTATAACATTCAAAAGTCAAGAACAAGCACAATTAAAATGTAAGAAACTCGCAGTAAAAAATAGAGTATTAAATAGTTAGGAATTTATTTCACAAGAATGTCAATATCAATTCAATCATGTCTCTGAATATTCAAGTAATTGGTTAATTGCCAATCAGTTTCTCTTATTAATAGTCAAAGTTTAATTCCTTAAATCATTGACCCTAACAAGCAACTAAACCTCCTTAATTCCTTAGGTGAAGTTCAATTTCAAGTTGTATTAAGACTTAGAACCGTATGATTGCAGTATTAGGTCTCCTTATCCCTAAGAAATCCCCAATTCTGATTGCTAACTCAGATTAGAGAAGCAAATCCAACTTCCATTGGTAAATGTTCCTCTTTGATTAACCATACGAATTTCCATTCACAAAGTGCAATAATAGCATAATTAACAATTCAATTAATCCAAAAACTCAAATTTCAAAAGCAAATATCGAATCAATACATCAATTCAAGTTCCATAAACTCCTAACTATGGAGAATTAAGCAAACATTGTAACAGAGAAAGAGAAAGAAGGAGAATAAGAGAAGAATTGCAGAGAAACCATCTCCACGAGCTCCAATCCAATGCCTCTTGGAGCTTCGAAATTCGACCCCAATCCTCTCTTTCACTCTCTCTCAACGAGAATCTAACAGAAAAAATGGAAAATGAACAAATAGCCCCGAGTTCTGAGCTTAAAACATATATTTATAGAAATCCTGATTCTATGCGTTATCACTCTTGCTGATAAAAGTGGCCACGTAGAAGCTCATGTGGTTTCTAAAAACTGGAACTATCACTTTCGCTGCTAAGAGTTGCAACGCAGGAGGTCGAGTAGTTGCGCGTGATCACTTTCGAGAGTAAGAGTGACCACGCACACTTGCCTTGATTCACTCCTCTCTGGAACATCCACTTTCGTTGGTAAGAGTGTTAACGCAGAGCTCGCTGAAATTTGTCCTTCTCTGGAACACTCACTTTCGCTAGCAAGAGTGTTAACGCAGAGCTTGTTCTTCTGAGTAACTCTCTGGAACACTCACTTTCACTGGTAAGAGTGACCACGCTCAGACTCTTTTTTTCTTTTAAGCTCTGGAACAATCACTTTCACTGAAAAAAAAGTGTTAACGCCCAGTGTGTATTCCTCTTTGATGTCTGGAGTGATCACTTTCACTGACAATAATGATCATGTCCAGCTTACATTCTATTGTTCTTGTGTTTTGGAGTCCAGAATTGCTATTCTTCCTCTTCCTTTCCATTGATCTTCCATTTTCATGACTTTTGCTCAGATTATTCCTACAAAAACAAGATTAATTTCTTAAGATCTAAGCAGAAATTTCACAAATGCTAAAATAACTACATATTAAAAGAAAACTTTCAATCATTCTATTTTTCTGAATTTTTCTACTTTTCTTATATATTTTTTCTTATCAAATGGGTTAGAAATACACTAAAATATTAGTAAAAATATGAATTCATCAACTGTCGATTACACTGTGAAGACTAGAACTCATATTGGAAAAATGTTGCAGGAAAATTTGTACAAGGCTCAGGAGAGAATGAGGAAGTATGCAAATAAGAAGAGGTCAGACAAGAAGTATAATTGTGGTGATTTGGTGTACTTGAAGATTTAATGTTACAAGCAATATTCCTTGGCTAACACATCCTTTCACAAGCTATCAGCTTGATACTATGGCCCCTACAAGATCATTGAACGAATTGGCAGAGTAGCATACCGATTGGACCTCCCTGCAGACACTAAAATTCACAATGTCTTCCATGTGTTCCTTTTAAAGAAGCATCATGGCAGCCATGTGGTTTCTGAACAGTTACCGAAGTTCAATGAGGAAGGGGACTTGCTTATCAGACCACTGGCCATATTGGACAGAAGAATTAAACAGAAGAACGACAAAGTCATTACTGAAGTGTTAGTGTAGTGGGAACACACCAATCCTAAGGATGCAACATGGAAGGAATTACATGAGTTACAAACCCAACATCCAGATTTTAAGTGGAGGGTAGTATAAAGGCCTTGGGGACAAGTCCTGTTGTAAAAAGGAGGGGGGAAATTGTAATAATAGAAAGATAGGAATAAGATTAATTTTGTTATTAAGTCGTTAATATAACATAAAAGCACAAACAAATCTAGTTTTGACACGAAAAGTGGTTGTATCATTAGAAGTCAGGATTATTAATAAGACCATTTTGTACAAAATTAAAGGTAATGAATGAGAATTCCGTTATTAGTTCCTCTACACTTCTTGAGAAATTGTGAGTGAGAGGGTGCATTCAAGGTTTGGAATCCATCCAAACCTGACACAACAATTAGACCATACTCACTTGTACTATGCAGGTCAACCCTCAATGATTGGTTGTATTTTACCTTCACTTATGCACAACATAAACTGCAGGTCATTGCATGAGATACAAGATTTATCACCCATTATTATTACTTTTTGAATACTCACCGACTTAAACATTGGAGTGTTCATTGCAGTGTGCTCTATCATATTGTTTCAATCCCATGTTCACTAGCATCATAACAATCTACATTAGGTTCATCATTTTTAGCCCAATAGAAGGATACCAAATCAATTATCTTTAAGTGGAAGTGAATTAAATAAGATAATTTTAAATATCAACACTTGCAATAATGAGATCTCTAGATTTATTTTTTCTCAAACTTATAGTTTTGAGTATTATTTAATAACTTCACAAGGATGGAATAAGTCACCTAATGAATTGACAAATCTGATTCGATGTCCAATTTCATTTTTGTTTAGACAATTTAAAGCTCATTCAAGCGAATCCCGCCTTCCAACCCAGTCTCAAACTTTTCCTTCTCAAGTCCTTCCTCATCCTCTCACTCTTAGCTCTCCCTAGCTCCCTCCCTCTCTGCCTCCCCCTATCCTCCCACTCTCCCCTTTCAGTACCCCTTCCTGCTCTCCCCCCCTCTCTCCCACAATCTCAACCCCTTCTCCCACTGTGAATCCTTCTAAAAATGAAGAAACTTGCAAGTGAAAATATTTTGTACATATTTTGTCTTTTGTAGTATAAAATGGGGGAGGAGATTGTAAAGGTAGGGGTGGAGAGAGGGAGAACTTGAGAGGAAAGAGTTTGGGACTAAGTTAAAAGGTGGGACAATCACTTAACAAAAAATAAATTTGAATATAAGTTCTGTTACAGCTTAGACCAACATCCGATTTTATGAATTGACACCGAATGACAAGGTAATTCGTTATACACTGCAATGATTAGTGGATATTTTTTCTGTTTTTTTTTTTTTTCAAATTAGAATAAAAATGTAGAACGAAAGAAAATAAACAGAAGGAAGAAAAAGGAGAAAAAAATATTAAATAATAGATAAAAGAAGAAACATATAATATTAAATAATTTTTACATATTAATATGATGATAAATGGATAAATTTCTTATTTCAACAGTTATTTCTTGTTTGCCTTTCTTATTTTTTCTCTACCTAAGGAGACTTTTTTTTCCAAGTTTGACTTGACTTTTTACTTTCCTTCATTACCTCGTCTTTCTATCTTGGCAAAGGCTCAATATAATTACAAAATTACAGAAGAACAACACAGTTTATGTCATCGGGGAAGGGGGATGGGGCAAAGCCAAGGAAGCCATCACAATCGCAGCAAAACTCAAAGTGGGCACAACACAAAAGCCCTATAATGTCTTCAGATTTGGTGCACTATTTGTTACCCTGTAATCTCTTGTATATTTTCTTTACAAAATTGTCTCTTTACAACAATTCCGTAGGGGAAACAAATGTTATAGCAAGAATTAGTATCCGTCCATCTCCATCTTTGAGATTCAACCAAATGGAGAAGGAACTGGTCCTGCAAGAGCATCTGATCTCTTGATGCTTCCCATTCCACAGACGATGCATCCAGGTGCAGTCACGGCAGAAAATTTG